ACTCAGCAATTCCACTAATAAAATATAGAAATACTAGCTCTATTCACTAAGATACTTAAGCACCATTATTTATAATGGAAAAAATTGGAGATGCTTGAAATGATTGTCCACAGGGAAACAATTGAAGTATGGAATTTTTACATATAGACTACTATGTGGGGGGCCCTCTCTAGTGGCAAAATGGGTTAAAGCACAGCACTGTGAAGGAGCTAGCTGCAGCCACTTCAGCATGGGTTTGATCCCTGGCCAGGGAGGTGACCAACATGGCACAGCATGCCTGTCTCACCCCCACCCCGCACCTCCCCTCAGCAGTGTACTTCATCAATCTGCCTGTTTTGCTCCCCACTCTGTCTTTGGTGAATCATCTCACCGCCCCTACATCTCTGACCTATACCCCAGTTCTGCACAAATAAATAAATCTTAAAAAAAAAAAAAACTATGTGGGCATTAAAAATGAAGGCTATAGACTATGTTCTGACATGGTAGGTATGCACTCAATATATTGCTGAATGAAGAAAAAGAATTAAGTTTGCATAAAGATAGACAAAAATAGCATAGTTACCAATCTTGTTAAACAGTGATAACTCTTGGTAGAAGTTTGTAAGGTACAGGAATCGGAATAAGAAAGCCCAAGAAGGTCAGTATTTGATGTACTTCTATACGACCTGAATTTTTATTTCTGCTATTTGACAATTAAGTTATGTTTAATATTTACAGATCAAAAATTAATCCTCCGGCCCTCCCTGGTGGCACAGCGGGTTAAAGCACTGCACTAAGAAGATTAAGCCACTTCTGCATGAGTTCGATCCCCGCCTGCCCCGGAGGTGACCACATGGCACGGCAGACCTCTCCTGACCCGCTCACACTGCTCCCCTCAGCAGTGTACTTCATCGATCTGCCTGTTCTGCTCCCTTCTCTGTCTCTGGTGAATCCTCTCACCCTCCGCATCTCTGGCCTGTACCCCAGTTCTGTATGAATAAATAAATAAATTTAAAAAAAATTAATCCTCCTATTTTTTTCCCTAGAATACTTGAACACTAGACTTCAGAAAGAGTCTTTTAAGACAGCAGTCCTACTGCCCACCTGTGGCTATGAAGGGCTTCTCTTTACCATCTTTTCTTTTTGTAGCACTGCAAACTCTCTCCACCGGGCAGCAGACGCCTGCCGCCTGTGACCTGTGACCATGCTGCAGCTTTCCTTCACTGACCTCCCTCAGCAGAGGCTGCTCTCCTTCGGGATGCCGGCCTACCACCATGCAACCCTGCCCCTTTCGGGGCAGCTTTTCTGCCCACTTGCGTCTATGCAGGTGTACTTTTCCTTTTATAATAAACCTGCCCTTTTGGATATAAAAAAAAAAGTTTCTCTTTAGTAGATGAAGTTGATAATATATACTTCTAGAGCATTGGAACTCTAGCGTAAACAATCAAAAGACTGAGTTAAATGGGTTTATTTTTAAAGAGCAATCTGTATGTTCCTGTATCATAATGATTTAAAATATGAATTCTTTTTCATGGAACACTTAAGTTCACTATTTACAGGAATTTAATGTGATATATATTTAACATAATTAATGTTTAGGTTAACCCTTTAATCTTTTATAGTTAAAAGGAAGAAGTTGCTCAACAACTATTCTTTAATAGTCTATCCTCCAAAAGCACTGGCACGTACTAAAATATTTACCAAACCCTTTAAATCTTTTGTTACTTATTCCTTAACACAATCATGCTGAAGACAGTTTAATGTCACTTAAAAAAATTTAAAATGGTACATTTACTACAATAAAAAAAATGTGAAAGAACATAACCTGGTGGTTATGGCTTGAGTTTAATCTCCAGCCAGGGAGCTGACCCACACGGCGCAGCAGACCTCTCCTGACCCGCCCGCAGCGCCCCTCAGCAGCATATTTCTGTAGATCTGCCTGTTCTGCTCCCCACTCTGTCTCTGGTGAAGCCTCTCACACCTCATACCTCTGGCCTGCACCCCAGTTCTTCTATTAAAATTCAGTATAGCAGGCACAGTTGGTTGTGTACAAGTAAAAGGAAGTGGCAGTACTTTTCCCACCTTACAGCAAGTTCATATTCTTTGGTATCACCTGGTAGCATTTTTAGTAGGAATTTATATCTGAGGGAAGGGAAGAAGCTATTCTCCCTTAGAAATCCTCACGCTTTTCACTTGTCACTCACTGGGGAGAGGGAAAGTGTTTCTGGGCTCCACTTTTTAATCCTGTTTAATGATTACCCATCCAGAAAACAACTGTTCTCTATAAATCCTCTCATAAGGCAAATGATGAAATAATATTTACACCAATATGAGAAAGATACTTTATTACTTTTTATAGCCTTGATACCCTCATAAAAGGTATGGTCTTTAATTACTAAAGGCAGGTGGCTATTAGTATCAAGAATAATAATCATACTTTGAATTTAGATGATCCCAAAGCTCAAAATGGGCTCCCAAAACAAATGCTACCAGGAAAAACTGAACAGCACTATGAAAAATAATGAATTTTGAATAAGAAAAATTAATTTTTCCTTAAGTTAAAAAAAAGACTAAAAATAAGTTGAGATGATTTTCTTCACAAATTGCTAATAACAGAAGAAATGTAAGACACAACAAAGGAGATAGTGATGGGCTAGGGCATGAAATAGTTAGGATTCTGAACAAAATAAAATAGAACAAATCAGACTGGGTGCAATAAACTTGCAAATAAATTAATATTTATACTAAATGGCTTACAAAAGTGTCTAAGACCATAAAGACCTATGTAAGTGAGCAAAAAGCAAGAGTAAAGTTTAGTCATATAAAAAATGACTTTCTTAATAATTAGGATGTTAAGGTAACTATGTACTATTTAGATCTATTAAAACTGAGATATGGGACCCCCTCATGGTGCAAGGGGTTACGTCTCAGCACTATGAAACTATCCATAGCCACTGCAGCACTAGTTCAATCTCCCGCTCACCTACATGGCGTGTCAGACCTCTCCTGTGTCATCCATTGCTCCCCTCAGCAGTGTATTTCATTCAATCCGTCTGTTCTGCTCTCCACTCTGTCTCTAGTAAATCCCCGCACCCCCTGTACCGCTGGCCTGTACCCAGCTTTTGCATGCATGAGTAAATAAAATAAATCTTTTTTAAAAAAACCCTGAAATAGACCCTCCCTGGTGGCGCAGTGGGTTAAAGCACAGCCCTAAGAAGATAAAGTCACTTCAACATGAGTTCAATCCCCGCCCCGGGAGGTGACCACATGGCGTGGCAGACCTCTCCTGACCCGCCCACTGCTCCCATCAGCAGTGTACTTCGTTGGCCTGTTCTACTCCTTACTCTGTCTCTGGTGAAGTCTCTCACCACCCCTACACCTCTGGCCTGTACCCCATTTCTATATCATAAATAAATAAGTCTTTTTTAAAAACCTGAAATATATTTATTATAACATATTAAAATCCATTATTAGTAAGGCTGGTTGTGAATTAACAAAATTGTGTATACTATTAGTAGTAACGTAACTTAGAATATTGATGTTGGCAAACAACTAGGTGTATATCAATCAAGCAGTATAGAAATGTTCATATACTTGTTGATCCAAACTTTAGAAAGAAGTATACAGCTCCGTGTGGCAGCATGATCTGTAGTAGTTAAATAAGCAGAAATCAACAACAAAGGAATTCTTAATTCAGCTTTATATGTTTTCTAAACAGGTACAATATAGTGGGAGAATAAAGAGGTAACACCACCACACAGGGAAAAGCACTTGGCAGGTGCTATGGACAGGAAGACTTTAATCTTTTATATCAATTTTGACGTGCACGGCCAGCCAAAGTGCAAAGGGAGTCAGCAGCTGGGCAGGGAGAGTGGAGTACACTGGTCATTAGCTACTGAACAGAGAGCAAGTACAAGATACAGGCAGATCAAGAGTTCTCTGAAAGAGATTGAATATGTCGCGTCCCATCATAATCAGCTATCCATAGAGGAGACAAACCAAGCAATACACTTCAGTTCTATGAGGCAGTCACAACAATGTTATCTACTTTCAAAGAATATTGTCAACATCTATTTAAAGATACTCCTGACAATTTGGCTAATAAATTCTCATTTGAGAGATAAAGGTAAATAATGGAGTTTTTTTTTTAAGTCACATTTGATTCAAGATTAGGTTTACCTCAAGTGCACACTTGAAAAACATCCAACAATATCACCTACTGCAAATACAGATTTCTACATTCAAAATACTGGGAAGGACATACTGTAACCAGAGCTTCCGCTATACCGCACTGACCCCTTCCTCAGCAGGCATAATAATGTCTTTTCTCATATTTATTAAACACTGAACAGTTTAAAGATGACTTCACACATACATCATCTTACTTGATACCTTTGAGAAAATGGTTACATCCCCAATTTATAAGTAAGAAAAATAAAATTTAATGAGATTTGCTGACTCGGATATTCACAGAAGTAGCAGAGTTGGAACCTGAATACCAATAACCAGACTCTAAAGGTAGTAAATGCATTACACTGAAGAAATATGTCAGAACTTTCAGATTGTCAAGACAAACTGGTACTTTAACATCGTAATAGAGAGGTTAAGCTGAAAACCAAGCTTGAATCTGAAAGTTGTATGGCTTCAATCATCTTGTCCGTAAAAAATCAAAAAGCCACTAAGTACACTTACTTTCTGTCTGCTGAAGCCCCGTGGAGTCTCCCCCTCTCCCTGGAAATCTTTTTGATTATAAATCATAAAATCCTAGAATTTGCGAGATCAACTAATCCAGACCCTTTCGGAGATGAGAAGACGGAAGCTCGCAATTTGAGACTTGCTGGGAGCAGTGGCATCAGAGCTTCTATTACGAGATACTGCAATGAGTCTCCCAAGGCCCACATCAGGAGTGTTCCAGAAATGTTGTCATACAGAAAAAGGAGGCAGAAGAGGTAGACTACTACCCTCAGCTGGGTAATAACTGCTGTTCAGCAGCACTCTGACTCATCTCTGGTTGCTCTTACCTTTTCCAAGGCGGCTATTCCAAACCTTCAACACTCTCTGAAGTCATCAACTCAGTACTTCCTTCAGAAGAGATTAAAGAAAAAAAAAGAAACTCTCTCAGCAGAAGTCATAATCCTAGACTTCAGAATTGAAATATCCATTGTCTTTAAGAAGTTTTGTTAATTTCCCTGAGCTATAATTTTTTCAACTGTCAAATGGGAATGCACATCCACTCTATAGGATTTTTGTAAAATTAAATGTAATAGGGCCTCCCTGGTGGCACAAGGAGTTAAGTCTCCATATGAAGCAATTCACTGCCACTGCAGCACTAGTTTGATCCCAGCCAGTAAACTGACCCACATGGCGCTGCAGACCGCTTGCTGTCTCACCAGCTGCTCCCCTCAGTAGTATATGTCAGTCAATCTGCCTGTCTGCTCCCCATTCTGTCTCTGGTGAATCCTCTCATCCTCCCTGAACCTCTGACCTACTCCCCCCCAGCTCTTGTACACAAAAATAAATCTTTTAAATAAAATTTTTAATTAAAAAATAAAATAAAATTATATGTCTGGGTACAGAATAAGCATTTAGTAGCTACTCCAATCTCTAAGATTTCCCAAAGTAATTTAACCCATCTGCTAATGTTTCTTTTTCAAGGCTCACCTCTTCATGTGCTTTAGGTTTTATTTCTTCCCAAGGCTTCTTTATAATCTCCCCTTTCTCTTGTGTAGGTCTTCAACATCTATCTCTCCATTGGCTCCTTTTCCTTTACCTTCAAACATGTCAAATCTCTCTCATCCTTCAAAATCAAAACAAAACAAAAGGTCCTCATCTGCCTCTTTTTAGCACTTATTCTCTAAATATCCCTCCTAAACCCTATAAACCTATCCTGAAGTTACAAAGAATTACCCTTCAAAACAGAACCACTTTGGCATTGCATTTGTATTTTCGTATTTTCCACAACTACCCTGCCCACTCTTGTTATTCATTCACACATTCAACAAACATTTATAAAGTTCCAGTGCACAGCAGGAGCTGTGTGTTAAGTGGTAAGGGCGTAGCAGCGTGGTGGGTTCCTACCACTGAGAGGTAACAATGACAATACAGCACAAAGAGGACTGGTCTTTGAGAAGTGCTGTCCAAAGGACTATAGTACCCATGTGAAGATGCAACTAAAAGTCACAGAATGTTCTGCAATGGGTGTCAGACTCTTAGATGAGAGAATCCATCTATTCTATCTGTCCACTTTGTCCTTTCTTTACAAACAACTTTAACCCAATGCTTTTTCCTTCTTTAATAGTGTATTAATAACTTGTTATAGGAAAATGAAGGTTTAGTGCAACTAAATATTTACCCCACTCACCTCTGGAAACAATTCCACATGCTAGGTAGAGCTAAAGAAGAAAAAACTAAAGTTCAAAGAGGCTGGTGCTCAAGGCTGTACAGTAAAGAGAGGATTTTATTTATTTAGTACTTATTTACTATCTGTGTCTTCCCTCTTCCCACTCCACTCTTAAACAGTGAATTTTGTTTCCACTGCTTTGTTCTTAGGGTCTACGACAGTGCTTAGACCATAACAGGCTTTCAACAAGTATTTACTGGTTAAATGGATGGATGAGCTGATTTGGAAATAAAGTAGACCAACGGCAAAAAACACAAGAGAAAAGAGTTCCTTTCCATTATGATGGCTTATTAAAAGAGAGATTTAAAACAGGCTTCTACTAGTTAGAAAGGCTAGACTAATTTTATTGACTCAATTCCATTGGCATGTTACGCATTTCACCTAAGAAGAATATAAGAGCAGTAAAGTAGGTTTCTATTTCTGATGTCACATTCATGGCATGTACTGACATAAACACAAAACTTAAGTGCAGGTTTTGCTTTTTTGAACTAAAAGCACAAACTAAAGAAAGCAATTCTTGAGCCTTGGGATTTTCTGGATTCTAGGATTCTCTGCCTAGAAAAGTGCCTGAACATCAATGTTTCAGCAGCCAAAGCTACAAGTATACACATTCTCCAACAAATTTGTTAATAAACCTTTGGGTAAAGACTAGTCAAAACCACAGCCTAGTAACTAGCTCACCACCCTTCCATCTCCCCAGGGCTCATTAAATTGCCATTCGGTCTAAGCTGCTCATACGAGGGAATGGGCCAATGTTTGGTATGCTCCATAGTTTGGTAAGACAAGTGTTTATGGTTCTAGAAACTCCAGGACTTTATATATTAGTTTGCTCTTAAAGGAAAATATTTCTCCCTCCCCAAATAAATTTTAGCAAATCACACACTGGTGGTGTGTGACTACAAGAAGTGTAAAGTAATGGCAAGAGCACTGAATTTTTAGTATGGTTTACATGGCTATTTCCTGTCTATACTGCGTGATCTTGGGCAAGTAACTTAACAAGTAAGAGGCTGTAGCATCAGAAGCTTTAATACTAGCCTTACATGAAAGAACAACTATCTCACAGAATTGCAGTGAGAATTAAATTACATAATGTATCTCAGCTGTTTCCAAAAAATAAGTGTAGCATAATGCTAAACAAATACGCAACACTCACTCCTACTTGTTACTGTTTTTAAAAACTTCTAGAGCATTCAGTGGATGTTTCTTTTCAGCACAATCAAAAAAAACAAACAGCCCCCACTTGCTGCTGGGTTAAAAGTTGAGGAACAACTGCATTGGAGCGCTCCATCCCCGCATAATTTCAATAACCTTCCCTAATTCAAGCATGGGGTCCTTGTTGTCTTCATTTTAGACTTGAAATACTAATTAATTTTTTTTTTTTTACAAAAAGACATTTTTGCAACAGCTTTTAGAAAACTTTACGCTGAATTTAACAACGCAGACCTCCAACTGTATTGGACATAAAGTTATCACTATAAAAATTTCTGATGAATACCAAAAACTCACCGGTTTCCGTAAGAATGCACTACCGCTACTCCCTTAAACTGGCTTCATTTCTACCACTTGATGAACTAGTCCCTGCTGTTTTCTAGAAGTCACTGGGTTTCTATATATAGCAGATCCTTCTATTAATGGAAGTTTTCTTTTTGTTTTGTTTGTTTTAAGCAGAAGACTTGTGGGGGGGGGAGACGAAGAACTGGGCAGCTGGCTTAAGTTCTGTAGTCTTTTTCTGCCTTCAATGAATGAAAAGGCTGCACGCTGTCCTATAAATCACTTACTCTGCTGAGTCTCGAGGGGTGTGCGAACTAGCTTTCTGCCCACCCGCATTTGTACCTTGGTCCCCCCACAGCTGCGACCCACAAAGACAACCGCAGCAAACGCGACCCCTTCCCGAGGAGGGGACTCACTTCTTTTCCAGAGACCCGTCCACCTACCGAGAAAAATGCCTGGAGATTAGTGACCCGAAGCGCCTGGGGCTGACGTTTAAGTCAGACAATAACCTCGAGGTTTTCTACAAAACTCCGTCTGCCTCAGCCAGGTTCCGAAGCCTCCGCTCTGCCCAGCCGGGATGCAGAGGTTTGCGGCAGGAAGGATTTGAAAAACTGGACTTTGACCCGATCCGATTACCGCAACAGGATCCCCAGGGACCGGTCCCCGCCAGGGACTGGCCGGGCGGGCTTCCTCGAGGAGGCAACTCGGCGCACCCGCACAAAGGGGCGCACAGCCCAAACAAAAAGGCCCCGCCAGTCGCGGGGGGCGGGGAGGGGAGCCTGCGCCGGGCGCGCAGCAGCAGCCACCCGACCGTTGTGGGAGGGCGGAGGAGAGGGCGGAGGCCACGGCCCGCCCCGCCCCGGCTCGACGCCACCGCGGCCTGGGTTACCCCCACGGCCCGCGACCCCCGAGAGTCTGGAGCGCGGCCCGAGCCTCAGAGGCACTCGCAGTTCGACCCCCGCACTTCCCGCTCACGTCCCCTCGCTCGCCGAACTCACCCGGCGGCTGCTGCAGTCTCCGGAGCCTCCACCGTACTTTCCCCCGGAAATCCTACCTGGCCCGCAGGCCGCCTGGCTGCAGCCAGAGCCCTTCGGCCCCGGGAGGGGGTAAAGGGAGCCGGCCGGACAGTGGGGGTAGGAAGTGGCGCCGCGGGGGCTCACGGGACTTGTAGTCTTCAGCAGGGGCCAGCTGAGTCCCGGGCCGGACAAAATGGAGGGAACTTTTCGCCCTTTGCTCTCCAGGCCGTAGGTGCCACACGACCTCTCTGGGCATGCGCCTCCTGCTGCCGTTGTCCTGCAGGTAAAAGCACCTGAGCGCCTTTCCTGGTACTAAGGTCTTTGGACTTGGGAAGAAAGTTCAGTAATGGGCTCAGGCAATATCTGCAGATGCAAGTGTGATGCTTTAGAAAATTGTCTCCAGTTCTTGTCTGGCCAAATTCAACTATAACTCTCTAAAAGGATAAAAGAAAAACCACCGAGAAACAGAGAGCCAGAGTGCAAAAAAACTTAGAAGCAAATTGCCCTTAATTTGTGCATGAGGAAAAAAAAAAAAACAGTTTTCACTCTTGAGACTTTCAGTCCATTAAGTCATTCTACATCCCAAACGTCTCAGTTCCTTACTGTTTCCTCCATCTCCATCACCATCATCTTTCTCCAAGTCTCAGTTACCCAGGCCTCCAGGCTCTTCCCAACTCCTTTGCTGCTGCCAGAGCATCTCCCTAAATGCCAAACCCATTGTGGTTACAATGTAAATTAAACCTAAAACTACAAAATGTCTAGAGGAAAACACATGAGAAAATCTATGTGATCTTCAAACACACTACTGGGAAAAGGATAAATTGCATGCAACCAATTTTGCTCTTTTAGACACTTAAGAAAACAAAAAGGCAAACCACAGACTAGGATGAAATAGTAACAAAAATTGTTATCTAACAAAGGACTAGGATATAGGGTACATATAAAACTCTTTCAGCTCAATGAGACAAATAATGATTAAGAAATTATTTGAACCCTTTACCAAAAAGATAAATGGGTTGCTAAAGGCAAAAAAAAAAAAAAAAAAAGAGATCTTAGGGAAATACAAATTAAACCACAGTGAGATAACACTACACACCCACTGGTAATGGTTAGTATTAAGAGTATTAAGAAGATTGGTAATATCAAATGTTAGCAGGAATGTTGAAAAACGAGAATTTTCATTCGCTGCTGGGAGATTGTAAGAAGATAGACCCACTTTGGAAAAGAAGTTGGTGTTTTATTTTTTAAGATTAGTGTACTTTATGCACTTTGCATAGGTATATTTGTCCCTCTATTTTTTGGTGGTTTCTGTAAAAGTTAAACATACACCTACCATATGGTCCAACTATTTCACTGTAGGTATTTACCCAAGACAAATGAAAGCATAGGGCTACACCAAGACTGGAATATTCATAGCCGCTGTATTTGTACTAGACAAAGACTAGATTTAACAAAGGTCCTTCAAAAGGTGAATAGATGTTTACACAATGGGATACTCTTCAGTAATAAAAAGGAACGAACTATGGATACATACAACATCATGATGAATCTTAAACTGGCTGTGTTGACTGAAATAAGCCAGGCATAAAAGAATTTATTTGTATGATGCCACTAATACAAAAGTCTGGGGACTGTGGTGACAGAAAGCAGGCAGAGGTTGCCTGGGACCAAGGAGGCTTGGCATGACAGAGAGATATGGGATAGAGGAGCTTTGGGGAGTGGTGAGTGTGTTGATTATTTTGGTGGTGTTTATAGTTTCCAGGGTGTATGATGAGTTTTTTTTTTTTTAAAGATTTATTTATTTATGCATCCAGAAATGGAGTACAGGTCAGAGGTGCAGGCTTGGTGCGAGAATTTACCAGAGACAGAGTAAGGAGCAGCTAGCTTTGCTGTGCTGTGCTTTAATCTGCTGTGCCACCAGGGAGGGCCCAAAATTTATTTATTTATGTATACAAGAACTGTGTACAGGTCAGAGTTGTAGGGGGTGAGAGGATTCACCAGAGACAGAGTGGGAAGCAGACCAGGAGGATCTGTATATGATCTGCTTCAATTCCGGGCCAGGGAAGTGACCCACATGGCAGGGAGGAACTCTCCTGACCCACCTGCTGCTCGGCTCAGCAGTGTACTTTCTTGATCTTCCTGTTCTGCTCCCCACTCTGACTGTGGTGAATCTTTTCACAGCTTCTGCACCTCTGGCCTGTACCCCAACCCTGTATGTATAAATAAATAATTTTTAAAATTCTCTGATACCTTATTTCCTGAAAAAAAAAAGTAGAAAAATAACACAAGGACAATAAACTTGATAGTTTATGAGTTACTTTGTGTTTCTTATATAAATCTCTCTACTTTTGCATATACTTGAAATAGTTCTCAATTAAAAAAAGCATGAAGGAAAGCAGGGTGCAAAACATGTTACCTTATTTTGAAGGAATAACATTTGAATGAACAACTTCTATTATACTAATTAGAAATCAATGGCTTGGAGGGCCGGGGGAGTACTGAGTTTTGTTTCTGAAGGGTTTTTCAGCATACAAAAATTTGTATCCTGTACTATTCCGTATTTTTAAGTTGCAGCAACACCGGTTTACAGTGTCTTCAACTGTTACCACCCTACAGCCACCACCGAAGTGCTAAGAACCTTCCACTACAGTCCAAAGAGCCCCCTCTGTGCTTTGTTCCACTCATGGCCTTAATTTTTTCTTAAATGTATGTTACTGTACTTAAAAACAACAAAATAGAGATTTTTTTAAGCTAAAAATTCAAAATGTGTTGGGGCCACTTAAAACAACTAACACAGTTTAAAATCAAGGCGGTGGTTGTTGAGCTGGAAAACTTTCAAATTCTGAGCACTCGCTCTTCTTTCACAACCGTGAATGGCCCCACAAAGGATGTAGTTCTCACTGGGCTGAGAACCAAGTCCAATTAATCCTCAAAGAATTAACTGGGCCAGTCAGAGAACAGTATGCAAATTAGTGAATCTGCACTTAGCGCTTCAGCTTTGAATCCGCAACTGCAGGGAATGTTGATGTTGCTGCCACCTGCAGGCCACATCTCTCCATAGCAGCTTCATGGAAATAACCGGGGCTTTTCTCTCTTGGATGCTCTATGGGGCACTGAGTTGAAGAATGATTTATCAGACGTTCCTTTCCCTCCTTCAGTCCGCTGGTTTGCCACAAACACAAATTGTTGATAAAGGTTCCTAAGAGTGTGGACTGTGACATCAGACTGGCTTTGAATCTTTTTTTTTTTAAAGATTTATTTATTTATTCGTACAGAACTGGGGTACGAATAAAGATGGGGAGGGTGAGAGGATTCACCAGGAACAGAGTTGGGAGCAGAACAGGCAGATCGGCAAAGTACACTGTTGAGGGGAGCAGCGGGCGGGTCAGGAGAGGTCTGCCGCGCCATGTGGATCTCCTCCGGG